CCTTCCTCTACCAGAATCATCAGGAAAGTCAAATCAGACCTGACTTACTCTGGGACCAACACCTTTCATCAACTGAAGACAGCAAAAGAGAGTGGTTTTCCAAACCCACTGAATAGGCACTAGACAGGGGCTTCATTTTCAAACCAGTCTGAAATCTTTAGATTTTTAAATCACATGTATACTCAAACACATACAATGTCACTGGGTCCGATGAGATGGCACACACTTGTAATCCCAGCGCTCTGGGAAGCTGAGGCAGGAGGACTGTTCCAAGTTGGAGACCAGCCTGGGCTGCAAAGTGAGCTAAAGACCAACCTGAACTGCAGAGTGACACTCTGTCAAAAAAAAGAAAGGAAAGAAAGAAAGGAAAGGAAAAGATGTCACTGGGCAAGGTGTTGCACCTCTACAGTCCCAACACTCAGGAGGTAGAGGCAGGAGAACATTGCCAGTTTGAGGCCACCTGGGCTACATAAAATTTCAGTACCGACCTGGACTATTTATACAGCAAGATCCTGTTGCAAAACAAAACACACACAAGCTGCCAAATGACAACATACTTGGGTGCAGCCTCTTTTGGGCTCCCGGGTCACCTGGGAATGGTCTTGCTGCTCCACTCCAGCAACATGAAATCTACACAGCTTCAAAGTCCATTTCTTTTTTGCTTTTTTTCCCTTCTTTCTTTTTTTTTTTAATACAGGGTCTCCCTGTGTAGTTCAGACTGTCCTTAAACTCACTATTTAGCCCAGGTTGGCCTTGAACTGACAACAATCCCCCTGCCTCAGCCTCCCAAGTGCTAAGATTACAAGTGTATTGCACCGGGTTTAAATTTGATTCTTTTGGGCACTAGGCTTTTTCAAAATCTGAAAAATGGTCATAATTCCTAATTTGAATAACAAGTGACTGTGCTGAAGGTACAAAATAAACTCCTAATCACATACTTCCAAAGAAAACAATTCCCCTAGCATCTTCATATAAAACAATTTTGTTACAGCTTTAAATGCTAAGCACTGGGAGAAAAATGAAGCAGAAAGCTCTCACCTAGGTATATTTTAAGCAAAAAGCCACACGAAAAAGCAGCCACAAAACTGCATACTTGTGAGGCCCTCAGAATCACTTGCTGCTAAATCTCTAAGGAAAAGGTTCTGAAATTCAGGAAAGCTTCTTTTATTTTTCTCTTACACTGAAAAGTGTTAGCAGATAAATTCTTTTTTAAAAATTAAAGCAAATCTGGGGCTGGGGATTTAGCTCAGCAGCATAAGTGCCTGCCTTGCAAGCAGGCAGTCGTGAGTTCGATCCCCAGTACTGGTAAACACAAAAAAGACAAAAAAAAAAAAAAAAATTAAAGCAAATCATATTTATTTTAAAAGAATCAGAACTAGCACCAAAAAAGTTAAGACAAAAACTAACATTAAAATGGCACCTCTTTCTAGATCATTTTTATTATTTCACTTTTATCTTCTGGACACTAGGAATTTTGAACACAGGAACTAAAACATGCTATGCCAGAAAGCTACAATCCCAGATTCCTTTGTCTGTTTTCCTTCCTATGTTTCTGGATTTTTGAGACAGGGATCTCCCTGTGTAGCCCAGGCTGGCCTGAAACTCACAGCAATCCTCCTGCCTCAGCCTCCCAAATGCTGGGTTTATTGGCATGTACCACTATGCCCAGCCTTAGACCCCTTTGTGAAGTTTTTGAGATAGGATCTTGCCAAATTGCTGAGGCTCAAAATTCCAATTTTCCTACTTTAGTCTCCTGGTATTACAGGTGTGCACAATCATACCTGTCTTCTCCAGATCTTTTTGTATCCTGATCTTAATTTTTTAAAAATTCACTCATTTGAAAACAAATTACTGGGCTGGGGATATCGTTCAGTGGCATAAACAACTGCCTGGCTAGCACAAAGTCCTGGGTTCAATTCCCTATACTACAAACAAATTACTGGATAGAGTCACAGGGCTTACTGTGTACAGAAGAGACTAAAAGGCTTATTGAAAAAGAGAAATTTAAATTGAGCAGAAAATGAGGACAAAGCTGGCCAAGCAAAGCTTGAGGAAGAGAATTCTGGGGCTAGGGAACGGCCCAGGCAAAGGCAAGTGGCAGGGAGTGCTGAAGGGGAGTGGTGAAGAGAAGACAGCCAGTTTCTTCATCAGCATTTAAAACTGTCTGAATCTATCTGAAAATCAGCTCTCCTTTGGGTGATTTACTGTTGTTTGTTTTGGGTGCCAGAGACAGAACCCAGAGCCTCTCAAAGAGCAGCTGAACACCCTAACCACTGAGTTATATCTCCAGCTCTTAGACCTTTATTTTGTTTTTCGAGGTAAGGTCTCACTGTGCAGTTCAGGCTGGCCTTGAACTTGTGGCAATCCTCCTGCCTCAGCTTCTGAGCACTGGGATTACAGGCCTATGCCACTACACCTGGCCCCAAGAATATTTTTAAAGAATTACCAAAACAGCACACTAAATCCACATGAAAGCTCAAATTTAAAACAAAAAAAAAAAAAACAGCTTTTTTTCCTTTGGTACCAGGAATCAAACTCAGGATCTCACACTTGCCAGGGAGGCACTGTGCCACTGAACTATATTATCAGTCTTTAAAAAAAAAAAAAAAAAGATGTATACAAATTAAGTCTTACCATTGCAATAAAGATTTCAATTCTAACTCCTTGCTGACATTTCCTGTATGCAAGAGATTATATAGCACCTCAGACTCCTAAAACAACCTCACCATTATATATGCTCCTCAGTTTCCACGATATACCATGCCCGTGCTCTCAAGCACTTCTTCTCTAAACACCCTAAGGCCCTTTGGCTATAATAGCAGACTTCTAGTCTCTGTTTTTGTTTTGTTTTGCTTTTGAGAAAGGGTCTCACAAAGTAGCCCAGGCTAATCTAGAACTCACAGAGATCCTCCAGCCACAGCCACGTGAATACTAAGATTACAGGCCTGCATCACTGCACTCCAGTTCAGTTTCAGAAAATTAAACAGAATTCACTCCATGTATTGGATTTAAAAGACTGAACTGCTGGGTATAGGTTAAACTTGGTTCATGATCCCCCATGAAGACTAATAATCGATTTTATGTTTGGGATCTGGGAGTTGGGTCCTCTAGCATCTAATCGATGTTCTTAATTGTCACATCATGACTCCCTGTCCAAAGATTTCACAGATGCGGTTGAAAAAGCATCAACTACAAAGAAAAGAAAGTCACTGGATAATGGCTTTGTTTTGGTTTGTTTTTTTGTAATAGGAATCAAACTCAGGACCATGTACTCGCCAGGCAGGTACTGTGCCACTGAGCTATATTTCCAGCCCAGGATGTTTTTAAAAGGTCACTTACTTAAGAAATTAATTTTTAAATGAGAAATTTACAAAACCCAGAGTCTAGCTGTCAGTTTTGCTGACTCTGCAACCTGTGGCAGCTGGATTCCTAGGCACGTGTGACCCTGGCATTCTGCCCATGTTTACATGGCTGATGGAATTTAAAGGTGCAGGGAGCCTTTCTTTTCTGAGAGGTGACAGTCCACACCAGGGCTGCTGCTCACCTGTGTGACCTGGCTCACCCCTTGTCTCTCCCGTGTCCATCCATACAAGGGCCTGAACAAGCAGCAAACCATCTAGGAAACAGTGTCTGCCCTCTATTCTATAAACAGCGCTGATAAGCCAATGGAAATTATGATCCTGTTTTTTCAATCCTTCCCACCCTATATATTTGGAAATATTCTTGAAATAGTTGATTTTGTTTGGCAAATTCAAGCGCATTCCTCTGGATCCCCAAATCAGAATTTAAAATTGTTTCTATAATCAAGCTTTAAAAAGCACACTTTAACTGAGTGCAAAAGAATACTGCATGTACAACACAAAACAAGAAGTTTAAGGAATGTTATTATTTAATGTTAGGAAATGAGCTATTAAAGAAATCTCACATCCTGACAACTTTCTAAGTCTTTCTGAAAAATAAAACATGATTGCTTCATAATTATTTATCCGTCTTCAAACACCACGTTCTTAGCCAGGTGTGCTAGACGCAGGGAGCTCAAAGACAAACGGGACACTTCGCCTGCCTTAGATCAACGCCTGAAACTGTATAGATCTGTATAGATCAACGCCTGAAAACTAAAATCTCTGACTGTCTCAAGAAGCCAAGGACTTATTTGCATCCGGAGCTTTGTATGGTTCACAGATTGCACAGGTGAGCACGCCGAGGTCACTACTCGGTGTTGGGAGCCAATAGCCGGCCCCAGGCACCTCTGAGCTGCACTAAGCTGAAGACTTGACTTCTTTGAGGAAGCGACTGTCACCCACACCTCCTCAACCCCGCCCTCCCACCCTCCTTCAGAACAGAGGGGGTTTGGCAGGGAACTGTCCAAGGTTACCACCTGATTTGGAGTTACGCCTGGGCGTGGGACGCCAGTAACAGTACACGCAGTCGGGATACTGAGCATCGCTATACAACATCGAGCGTTGACCAAGCGCTAACAAGGCACACAGGAAATAAAAGACCTCCGTCTCGACAGGATCAGAATGTCAAGAAGAAAACTGACCGAAAGAGGGAGATGTCTAACTTCCCAAAACGGTAGCAGCCCCCTGCGCGGCGAGCGTCCTGGGACCGGCGGAAGTTACACGTCCAGGACCGAGTGCCCCCTCCCCAGTGGGAAAAGTTTGAGCAGCCGCCCGCCCGATCATCCCGCGGTCGGAAACTTCCCTCAACAACAAGGAGCAACCGGACACCCGAGTCCCCGCCCTCGGCTGGCCCCAGGTGCCCTGCTGCCAGGCTGTCGCCTCCTGCCCGGGCCTCGCCTCCCACCTCGCCCTGGCTCCTGGCCGGCGTCTCCGGGTGGCGGGGAGTCACAGAGACTCCGGAGCTAGGCCCGGGTGGGGCCCTCTGCCCGGCTGTGGGGGTTGGGGGGACCCTGGCCTCGGCCTGCGCTCCCCGAGGCCCGGCCGGGCCGCGACCCCGCGCCACCGCCGCCGCCGCCGCCGCCGCCGCCGCCGCCTCACCTCCTCGGCGTGCTTGCGCAGCGCCTTCTCCCGCTCGTACTGGGTGATGAGCTGCTCGTTGTCGTCCCGCAGCAGCTCGAGCTCCACCTGGTGCTCCTGGTCCTGCGCGAACACCGAGTCCAGGTTCTCCAGCACCGCCACTACGAGCGGCATCAGCTCCTTGACCACCTCCTCGTCATAGCGCCCGATGAGCCGTTCAAACTCGCGGTAGATGGAGCCGGCCAGGCCGGACACCCGCTCCGACATCACGGCTCCGGAGCCGCCGGGCTCCTCCTGGTACACCACACCGTCCTCCAGCTCCATGGTGGCGGGCGGCCCGGGGCGTCGCCGGCTCGGGACCGGCTGGGACCGGGGCTGGGACCGGGGCTGGGACCGGGGCTGGGGCTGGGCCCGGCGGGGTGGGGGCCGGGACCGGAGAAGGGGAGGGGTGGGGTGAGCGCACTCACCCCAACAGCCGCTGCACCAACTGCCGGGGCGGCAGGGCCGCGCGCGCTACGCGTCACCCGCGGGGCGGGGCGGGCGCCGCGACGGCCCGGTGGGCGGGGCCCCGAGGGAGGCCGGGCGCGGCTGGGGGCGGAGCTATGCGTCAGCGTGCGCCGGCGGAGGAGGGCCGTGACATCAACATCCGGCGCGCCGAGCCGACGCGACGCCGAGGGGAGACGCTTGGCGCTGAGGGTGGAGAGAAGTGTCAGCCCGAGGCTAGACTTGTGCGACGATCCCCCAAGGAAAGGAAGAGGTTCTGGAACAGGGATGGATGCCCGGGAGAAACGCAGCCAACGTTTCCGTTACCTTTTTTTTTTTTTATACAGCTTGCAAAGCACTTTCTTAATCATGACAGTAGGCGTGGTGCGGTAGGCCCTCGATTCTCGGACAAAGAAACCAGGCCCAGAAAAGTTGTGATTGACTCAAGGTCACGCAGCTAGCATAGGAGAAAAGCGGATTCGGGGCTCAGAAAAAGATGGAAAACAGTGAGGGCGGGAAACACACCCATAACGGGAAGAGTCTCTGAGCCAGTGAAAGGTGATCACCAGTAGAATGGTACTACTTTGGGTTGGGAGAAGTAAGGATTGCCTAAAGCAGGAAGTGCAAAGCATTCTGAAGAAGGGAGAGCAGTAATGCCATATCCTTTGAGTTTCCCAAACGCTGAGTTCCTCTGCCTTCTGTCAGCTTGGAGAGGCATTTCTAGGCTCCAGCCACCACCCTGTCCCTGATTTTGAAGGAGGCGGAGTGGGTAAGTAGGAGGGTGTGAGGTAGAGGAAGGGGGCGGAGTCAGTCAAAAGAATAAAGCTCGTGATTTGTGAGGTGGCCGCCGCCAGGCTGAGTCACGTGTATGTGGAATGACACAACACCCAAGGCCTGGACGGGCTGAGTCAAGGATCACTTCCCAAAGGTCTCGGGTAGCATCCGCAAATGTGGCTAGGGACACTCCCAGAACCACCTTTTCTCTGCCACAGGTGACTCAGGAGTTAAGTTGGCCCTGATGCCAGTGGAAAGGCAGGACTTTAAGTAGACAAGGAGTTAGAGAAGGAATTGGGATCATAAATACTCCTCATATATACCCTTGGGGTCATAAATACCTTCAATTTAGTGTTTACAAATTCAGGTTCTCTTTCTAAGTATGGACTGGGAGCTAGAGGTGGTGGCGCATGCTGGTAATCCCAGCCCTCAGGAGGTTGAGGCAGAGAGATCACAATGAATTTGAGGCCAGCCTGGGCTATCTAGTGAGTTCAAGACTAACCTAAACTACATAGCAAGACCCTGTCTCAAAAGAAGAAAGAAAAATTGAAAAGCTTGAACTGGGCCAGGAGTGTCCCAGCTACCCCAATCTGCCACAGTAATGGCAGGTTTGAGTCCTGCGGGGCAATCTAGCAAGAGCCTGTCTTGCAGATGTATCTCAGCGCTTCAGTTGCCAATCCAGGTGTGTGTGTGGGTGTGGGTGAACTAGTTTTCCAAAGTTTTCCACCCTTGCCAGGTGTGGTGGGTCACGCCTGTAATCCCAGCACTCGGGAGGCTGAGGCAGGAGGATTGTTGCAAGTTCGAGACCAGCCTGGGCTACAAAGTGAGCTCAAGGCCAGACTGAACTGCATAGTGAGAGCCTGTCTCAAAAAAAAAAAAAAAAAAAAAAAAAGGGTTTTCCACCCTTGACCCATCTGGAAACCAACAAAAACAGCGCTGGCTACCTATAAACTCAGAAGAATGAGGACAAAAATACAGTTAAGAAGTCACAAGGGCTGTGCCCGCCTCACCCTCTCCTGACCTGAAATCCACCCTTGCATTATTTGTGTGTTTGGGTTGCAGGAATGCCGGTCAGCTGGTTGGGTGGTAGCCTCAAATGTCTTTTTAAACATATTTGAGAGCTGGGAAAAGTCCTTGTGACTGCACACCTACCTGTGCCTATTGGTAGTTACCAACTCTTGAGAGGCTTAAGTGGGAGTATTGCAAGTTCAAGCTCACCCTGGGGCAATTTATCAAGACTGTCTCAGGAAGGGGCTGGGATTTAGCTCAGCGACATAAGTGCCTGTCTTGGAAGCAGGCAGTCATGAGTTCGATCCCCGGTACTGATAAAAAGACAAAAAAAAAAAAAGACTGTCTCAGGATAAATATTAAAAAGGCCTGGGAGTGTAGCTCAATGATAGGGTCTTACCTAGCACACAAGGCTCCAGGTTCAAGTCCCAGTGGTCCAGGAAGTCTTTGCTCTGAATATCTTGTCTAAATGCTGTCACTCAAGGGCCTTACTTTCCTGTCAGTCACAGCAGGAAAACGTAAGGCAATGCTTTATTTTGTGTTTGCAGAACATTGTCATACACATCAGGACATTTAGAGGGAGGAAAAAAGTGTTGATTTTCAGGTACTCAGTTATAATTAAGTTTTCATAATAGATATTCTTGTTTTGGTGTAAGTTCAATGTAGAAGCCAAGTGTAGTACACGCCTGTCGTCCCAGCACTCCGGAGGCTGGAGCAGGAGGATCACTGTAGGTTCAAGGCCAACCTGGGCTACAGAGCGCAAATCCAGTCTGAAATGCATAGTGAAACCCTGTCTCAAAAAGATGAAAAAAAAAAAAAGTTCAACATAGAAAAATATAAAAAATATATTTATGTCTTGACTTGAAGCTTTTGGTAGATCACAATTAGTGGTTTAAAATAAAATTCAGGGCTAGGGATATAGCTCAGTGGTGGAGCACTTGCTTAGCATGGATGAAGCCCTGGGTTCAGTCCCTCACACTGCCAAAAAATATATATAAAAATAATGATACTTGGTTCAATTCAACTAAATATCTATTGACTGCTGGAGAGAGAAATGTGCATTTGCATACAAATAAATTATTCAGGGGTAAGAAGAAAGTATGTGCTGCAGTGTGAATGAATCTCAAAAATACTATGCTTAGTGAAAGAGTCTCACAGGGCCTTGCATAGTTGCCTGTGTATGAAATGTCCAGAAAAGCCAGGTCTAAAGAGACACAAAGTGAGTTAGAGGTTGCTTAGGGTTAGAGGGTACAAGAGGGTGGCACAAGGGGAAATGGAAGTAATACAGGAAGCACATGAGAACTTGCTTCAGTGATAATGGAAATTAAAACTGAAGTAACAGCACAGATTTATAGGCAAAGGCTTTAACTGAGAAGGAAAAAACCAGAAATGGGAAGGGGCTCAGCCTGAACCAGGTCTAACAGCAATTAGATCAGCCCATTCTTCAGGAGAAGAATGCAGCGGTCTTTTAAAAAGTGTGGGCTAGAGTCTGGTCATTTTCTTTGCCATTTTTTTAGGGGGTTGGGGTAGGGATTTGGGACAGGATCTCCCTATGTAATTCGGACCAGCCTACAACTCACTGTGTAGGTCAGGGTGGTGTCAAACTCACAGAGATCCTCCCGCCTCAGCCTACAGAGTGCTGGAGTTACAAGCTTATGCCACCAGACCCTGATAGAGTCTGGAGAATTTTCCACTGAGTCATAGGTAGGGTTTTTGTTTTTGTTTTATTTTTGATACTTCTTCCTTGTGTTCCAGGGGCTTCCTTCCCTATGCAGGATATGGATTAGTGGCTGTTTGTACCTTTGGAGCGGCCCGGCAGCCCCCTACCATTACAGCACACTTGTTTCTGGCAGGAGGTGTGGGGTCGTGGAGTAGGGCACAGTCCATACTCTGTTAGCAAGGAAGCACGGGGTAAAAGACACGGTTTCCCTTTTAATAGGTAACAGATTGTACTTGCATTAAGACCGAGGCATCTGTGTCCCTTGTCTGCATGAGGGTGTCCTCGTCCTCTATCAGAAGTGACTGCTGCCAGCCATTATGGTGCATACCCGTCATGCAGGAAACTGAGCATGCAGGAAACTGAGCCCAGCCCTGGCAGCTTAGTGATTTTGCATGACCCAGTCTCAAGAACATAAAAAGGAGCAGGGTGGGCAGCTTGATGCGGGGCAAAATCCCCAGTTCAGCAAAGCAAAGAGACTGCTAGTGGGTTTGCTTGGGTTCTCTTGCGGGCCTATGAAAATGTCCTCAAATTGACTGGTGTAAATGCACAATTCAGCCAGTACACTATTTGTGATTAAATGTTACACTTGAGAGAATGTATGGTATGTGAGTTATGTATCAATCGAGCTTTTAAAAATAAAGTTCCAGGGCTGGGGATGTAGTCGGGAGTAGAGTTCTTGTCTTATATGCACAAGGTCCTGGGTATGACCCCCAGCACCACACATATACACACAGAAAGAATCAAAATAAAGCTAATGAGTACACTGGCTTTTCTTTGGTACGGGAACTCAGAACCTTGAGCTTGCCTGGCGAGTATGCTGACTTTAGACCCAACAGAAGCAGGTAACTCCATGCTATAGGGTAGAAAGAAAATGGTTTCTAAATCAAGAAGCCTGTAGCCAGGTACAGTGGCGCACACTTGCCATGCCAGCAGTTGGGAGGCTAAGGCACTGCTGTGAATTCAAGGGCAGCCTGGACTATGCAGAAAGACCTTCTCTCAAAAAAAGAAAAAAAAAAGAACCACAAAAGTGAAAAGAAAAAAAAAAGAACCACAAAAGTTGAGAAGCTTGTATTCTATAGGATGAACTTGTTGCTTTTAACAATTTAGGCCAGGAGTAAAAAATGTAGCTATTTACTGAATTAGTATTTACCAGGTGCCAGGCACTGCTTTGGCCCAGAGCTGTGTGCAGAGGGAGTTTGTTAGACTCCGAAGGCCTCTCGCACTAAAATCCTGATCCTCATCCAGAGGTGGGGGAAGGTGCTGGATGGGCCTGGAGACTGAGTCTGCTGCTCTGTGCTGGCTCCCAGGCAGGCTGGCGGCAGCCCTGCAGCTCACCTCCTCCACTGTTGGATTGGACAGATTCCCAGCACCTACTTCTAACCGTCCAGGACAGAGCACATCTTGACAGGCTGAGTTATCATGAAAACCTGGTTACACTGCAGACTTTCGAGTGTTTATTTTTATTCCTAAGGGGAAGGAAATTCCATTGCAAGAGATCCCCAGCAGAAATAGTGAGGGCAGCAGTCGAGCAGCAGCGTGGAGGGCAGGAAGGGTGGGGAGGCGTTAGGACGATACCTGTAATCAGCGGGAGGCTGAGTTGTTTGTCTGCCTTCTGGAACCATTCTGTCTGTTTTTTGGCTTCCCACATCTAGGTTTCCTTACCTGGGAAGAGAGAGAGAGACAACAGAACAGAGGATCTGGGAGGAGGATCTGAGGCAGGAGGATCACCAGGTGTTTTGAGGCCCAGCCTGGACTACATAGTTAAAGGACAAGCTATGTAGTTACATAGCAAGACCCTGTGGAAAAAAGAGAGAGACAGAGACAGACAGAGACAGAGAGAAAAGAAAAAAGAAAAAGGAAGGAAGGAGGCCAAGTGTGAGCAACCAGTGACTGCCGAGGGGTGCAGAGGCTTATTCTGATTCTTGGTCTTTCCTCTGCAAGCCTTCTTGCTGCTCTTGTCTTTTCAGTCCTGGGGATCCAGCCAGGGCCTTGCACATGCTGAACAATCTTGCCCCTGAGCTGCATCCCTTGCCCCATCTTTAAACAGATCTCACTGGTGGGGACGTCACAAGTCTATAGCTGATCCATTTACTGGTCTGCTTGAAAAGGGACGGGAGTGAGAAGATGCCCTGTCATTTTTCTAAATGCCACTTGATCTCTGGATGTGATTTAGGGGAAAGATATTAATGATCCAAACCATCACTTCTCAGCTCTGTAAGAATTCGTTGCAATTCAGCTGGTATTTGATGCCTTTTCTTTTTCTTTTTATCATTACCGGGGATTGAATTCATGACCACATGCTTGCAAGGCAGGCACTCATGCTGCTGAGCTTAATCCCCAGCCCTGCCTTTTCTTTTTCTTAAAAGTCTTGCCATGCCATGGTCTTAAACTTTTGATCCTCCTGCCTCAGCCTCCCAAGGGCTGAGATTACAGGCATGTGCTACCACATCCAGCTGTTTGATGCCCATTAAGGCAGGTCCTTTGCTACATCCAAGGTCAGGCTGGTCCCCAAGGCAATCGGGCTAGGAAGGGCGGCAGGGCTCGGAGCATACACAGACCTCTAGTACAAAAGTGCACAAAAAGCAGAGGCAGTGAACAAATCCAACAGCCTGCCCTGTCAGGAGGGGTTGAGATGGAGGCCTCTTGGAGGATCTTCCCAGTGCAACATAATCTAGGCAGAAGCTAGGTCAACAGGGAAAGTCGTATCATCATTCAGCCAAGCAGAGAACATATAATTTATTTCTTTAGTCTGAACCTAAAGCAGTCAGGAGGCTGAGGCAGGAAGATTACTGAGAGTTCAAGGCCAGCCCGGGTTACACAGTGAGTTGAAGGCCAACCAGAACTGCATAATCAATGGACCAATCAATCTAAGGTGGCCTAATTTCTGAGCAAATAGTTCAGAGGAAAACCTGGTGCAAACTGATGATCAGAACAGCCCCTGTAGGTCCTGCAGTCTCTTTAGGTAATAATATTGAGAGCCAGGTGTGGTGGCGCACACCTGTAATCCCAGCACTTGGGAGGCTGAGGCAGGAGGATCCACATGAGTTTGAAGCCAGCCATGGCTACACAGTGAAAGCCTATCTCAAAAAACACCCCCCAAAAACAAAAAAGGCAGCTCAGTGGCACAAGTGCCTGCTTAGCAAGCTCAGGGACCTGAGTTCGGTTCCTGGTACCAAAAATAAAAATGACATTTAGTCCTTTGACCTCAAACCTCCCCCCCACCAAAAAAAGGTGAACTCTTAAGCCACAGGGACTCGGTATCGTTCCAGCGTGGTGCCCTCTGCCGCTGCCTAAGACAAGGCTGGGTCTGGCAGTGACTGGGTTCCCCTGTGCCCTCCTCACCTCACAGCCACCACTGCCCTCCCTCACATCGCGCTGGTCCTCACTCTGCTTGTTTTCTGGGTTGGGGTGAGGAGAAGCCCTGAAGAAGAGGGTGGGGCCCTCGGCTTTTTTGTTGTCTTTTGAGGTAGAGTCTCACTCTGTAGCCCAGGCTGGCCCTGAACTCACCGTGTAACCCAAACTCACGAGATCCTCCCACTTCAGCCTCTCAAGCCCTAGGACTATAGGTATCCACCGCCATGCCCAGCCAGGCCCTCAACATGTGCTGGGGATTGAAATCAGGACCTTCACACTGAGGTGCATCCCCATCTCTTCATTTCCCCTTTTATTTTATTGTGTTGTATTGGAGGGCTTTTATTTTGGGAGGGCTGTTTGTTTGGGGTTTTTTTTTGGGGGGGGGGCATGTTGTTTTGAGACAGGATCTCGCTGTGTAGTTCAGGCTGCCCTTGAACTCCAGGCGATCCTCTTGCCTCGGCCTCGAAAGTGCTAGGATTGCAGACATGTGCCACCACTCCTGGCTGGATTCTCTTTTTAAATTGCTGAGCTCAAACTTGCCATCCTGCCCCAGTGTCCCAGGGGGTAGGGGATACTGTCCTGCACCCCAGTACCTGGCTCTCAGGACACTTCCTATGCTCTTGGGCAAAGCCTGCAGCTGCTGCACATCTGTAATAGTTTTGTCTCCATCCTCCCCTGGTAAGTGGCGGTGGTGTGGCAGACTGCGGCCCTTCCAGGGGGAGAATCACTAGGGTCTCCTGAGATCTGCGCCATGTTGGAACTTAGGACGCTGGGAAACCAAGCAAGAAGCTCCCCTCCCTGGTAAGCAATAGTGAACCTACTGGTGCATGGCCTACAGTCAAACATCCCACTTCCCCCACCTCTTCCCCTGTCCCCATTAGCAAATGGGAACCAGAAATCAGAGCATCTCCTGGGAGGTTGACCATAGCAAATAAGGGGGACTTCCTTCTACCATCTCTTTGAAGGCAAATATTTTTATTACTGTTTTTCTCTATTCTGATTAATGGTACTGCTCTATTCAATATTGTTTTGATAAGTTCTATAATGCTCTGTATTTCGTTTTATTTTGATATACGTGATTGAAAGAAGAACTATTGTAAGGATAACAAAATATACTGTGATACCTATTACTGTTATCTCAGTAACCTGCTGTGAAGTTGTACCAATTTCACTGTATGATCTTAGTTGGCTTTATTCTGTCTTGTTCTATTTTACGCCTTTCAAAATAAAATTAAAAAAAAAATAGTTTTGTTTGTCTCATCCTGGATCTCCTTGCCTCCTAACACTAACACTTTTTTTTTTTTTTAATCAGTACCGGGGATCGAACTCACGACCACACGCTTGCAAGGCAGGCGCTTATGCTGCTGAACTAAACCCCCAACCCCTGGCCCCAACACTTTTTTTTTTTTTAGTTAAGTCTCATTGTGCTATCCAGGTTGGACTTGAACTTTCGATCTTCCTACTTCAGCCTTCCAAGCAAGTAGGATTACAGACATTCATCACCACGCCCAGCTCATCCTACCAATCTTCCGGCCTGAAAAAAGGAGGATTCTCTCCCATGTATTCTTCCTGCATCCCAATGAATATCCCAGTTAATTTTTTCTTTTGTTTTTGCGGCACTGTGTATGAGGCCAGGACTTTCCCACTTGCTATTTTTAGAAGTTGCCGCAGAGGAACTCACAGATTCCTGGTTTTAGTCGATGAGTAAATGGTGGAACCATCAAGTAAGGTAGCAAGTTCAGGAAGGAAGGCTGCTTTTTAAAATAAAATAATGACGTCCTCTTGGAGAAGTTTTTTGGAGAAGGAGTTTTTTGTATGTTTTGATTCTTGAGAGGGTCTCTTTATGTAGCTTGAACTCAGAGTGGATCCTTCTGCCTCAGCTTCCCACACACTGGGATTACAAGTGTACACCACCATACCTGTCTTCTTGGGCACTTGACCCGAGATACTCCTGAACTGGATCTCGAAAGAAAGACAGTGGCTGGACAACCCATTCAGTCACTGATTTAGGAATGCACTAAGTATCTCTGGTATATAATACTCCGAGGAAAAGTTCTTTCATGAAACATGCAATCCAATATTTCCCTTTCATATTTTGTTTAGTCAACTGTTTTCTGCTAATAGCTATTTAAAATCGGTCGCCCCAAAGGGATAGGAATTTTATTGGCTAAGGGACAGAAACTGAGCTAATAATAGAATTTCTGTCACTTTCTCAGGAAGGCTGGGGGAGGGGGTAGATTATGAAAGAGCGCGGGCATCTGGGCTGGCGGGCTGGCCGGTGCCTTGCAGTCCCTGCCACTTGGGAGGCCGAGGTGGGAAGATCCCCGAGCCAGAAGTCTGAGGGCAGCCTGGGCGGCGTGGGGAGAATAGCTTCTCAAAAACATAGACCAAAACAAAACAAGAAGAATTGACGTGTTCTCCTCTCCACCTGTCCTCCATTTTACAGGGGAGGCTGAGGTCCAGAGAGGGCGAGGCTCTGAGCTGGCAGCAGAATGAGGCTGCCAGCCCTGGTGGGGGCGTTCAGGAGGTAGAGAAGAATCCCCAAAGCTGAACAGAAACAGAACAACTGAGACAGTCTCGCTGTGGAGTTCAGGCTGGACTTGAACTCATGGCGATTCTCCTGCCTCAGCCTCCTGAGCACTGGGATGATGGGATGGGTGTGCGTCACCATACCCAGCGAAAGGGCTGCTTTAAAGCAAGGCCAGGGGCCAGGGGTGCAGCCCGGTAGCTGAGTGCTTGCCTCACGTGTGCAAGGCCGTGGGTTCAATGCCCAGCACCACAAAAACAAGAACTACAAAATAAAGGCCAGTCGCTGTTCCGCCCAAGATGTGTCTGTCCCGTTAAAGCTACTCCCTGCAGAGAGCGCCACCACCTGTCCTGAGGTTGCCACCTCTCGGAGTGAACGGCTGGCTGCCGTGTATACCAAGACAGCCTGCAAACAGCCAGCCAGCTGCAAAATGGAAAAAAAAAGAAAAAAAGCGAAACAGCAGGAAGCCGGGAGTCTCTGAGCAGAGCCGAAGGCGGGGTGGCGGGGTGCGAACAAAGGTGCGCGGGCTGCGCAGGGGACGCGGCGCCTCTGAAATCAGACGGGGAAGGGGGGGGGCACGGGGCAGGCAGTGTCTGGCGGGGGCACAATCCCGCAGCCCTGACCTTTGTCACCATTGTGCTCCACGTACTCGGGTGTGTGAAAATGACTCAGCTCCTCTCATCCAGGGTTTATTTTTAGCCACAGAGCCCAAAGTGCGGACCCACTGCCAGCCAGGAGCCAGGCGGGGGAGAGGGTGGGGGGGGTGGAGGTGGGGTGGCGG